ATCCGCCATCTTGGATCATCAATCTTGAATTTTCAAAAAGTTTTTTTTTTCATGATAAAGACTAAAATACATTGTAAACATACTAAACACCTTCATTCAAACCTTTTTTGTAAAAAAGTAGCAGATACACAATAGCTTTATCGTATAGGTTCTAAATTATCTAAGAATGAGTTGTTTAATTGTAAAAGTCTGTCGAGGAGGTCTCTCCGTTTGCCTGTGAGGAAGGGACAAATCTTTCAAACGATATAAAAAATTTGCTTCTGAAAATGCACACGAAATAACGTTTCATAGGGTTTGAAATTCAAATGTCTGATCAACAATTTTATGACCCACCAAATCCGGTTTCTGCTAGGGTCGGTCGGGAAACCGGAAACACATGTTTAGGCCTAAGGCCACACCAATTTAATTTGTTGGTTCGCGGATTCACCTCCTCGTTTTTTTTTGATTTGCAAAAAAAAATTCTGGCTTTGAATCAACTAAAAAATGCTGATATTTTGCCCCCAACAGTTGAGGAAAGTCCTTTTCTTCCTATCTGTTACAGTTTTTTTTTCATCTATCAATGCAGTGGTTTTATTAAAAGTTCAAAATTCATTGCTTAGATATTTAAACCCAGACTTTTGTGTTGACTTCATAACTCCTATTATAGCATATGGGGCTATAATAAGACGCCTAGGCCTGTTTTTATTATTTTTTTCGTCCTGTCGCTTCATATTTTTGTGAAAAAATCCGAGAACCAACAAATTAAATTGGTGTGGCCTAAGCAAGCCTGAAACATGTTTTTTTTTAATAGTATCCATAGCAGGCGGGGCCAAGGACCTGTGTGTTGATGTTATGATCATAGACAATACGGTTGTCAGGACGTATTCACATCAACATTTGATATCCCCTCTAGGGAAAGGGGAACACCTCGCGGTCACGTCAAATCTCGCGTGAACAGCACGGATCCAAGGCACGCCGAGAAACAAGTTGTTGGGAACGTGAAAAACATCACAATGTAAGATTAGAATAAGTGCGCACCCTCTAGAGATAGAAAGGGGCTGCTATAGAAAACTATACCTGTGCACGAGAGATTATGTAAATATTGTACAATGAATGCAGTGGAAAATGATTGATACACATTTTGTTAGCCAGTGTCCTCACCATGAGACCGATAGAAACAAATTCTTCCAGACAGTTACCACAATTTCTCCATACTTTCAACATTTAGAAGATCACCAAAAGACTACGTTTCTACTAAGATCACAAAACCCACTCATTATGCAGAATGTGGGACTTTTCATTATCCACTGCCTTCAAAGAAGTCAAACCTCAAAATAGCTAGAGTAGTAGTAGAAGTAGAAGTTTTTCCAGGCAAGTAGTTGTCTGTCTACTATTATTGTATTGTACCGAATAGTGTCTTTGACTGTGAAAGCAATTAGCCTTCGGGCATGATTTTGCAAATAAAGATCTTATAACATCACTACTCCAGGAATGACCCCACGCAACTCACTACTGCCACCGCTCCGCGCTGTTCGGCTCAGAAGAGTTTTGTGTTTATCAAAGTGCACAAAGCAGGATCACATAACACCGCCTGCATCCTCCAGGTACGTCATGTGCTTTATGCATATATTATGTTAATGTTGATGTCATTTGCATAATGAGGACATGTTGAAATGAAATGTTTCAAAAGGATAGGAATTCCTCACGCAAAATATTTGAGTATAGAAAACCAGAATTAAACTTGAATAGCAAAGTTTTTTTATTACAACCATTTATTTTTTACGAGCCGACGTTTCGATGACCGTCTGTCATCTTCATCAGGGCAATTCTGACTGGTTTACGTCATGTGGATGCAGCTGATTGGTCCAATAAAACAAATTGACCAATCAGTGCAGGCTAATGTTTGCTCTGCGGGAATATGACGTGATGAAGTCTGAATGTGTTCCCTACGATAGATGTTGATTGGCTTCCCCTGAGTATGCATAGTAGTAGCAATACTTGAAATTTACATATTTGTTATATTTCACTCCCTATACCATGGGAAGGGAAATATATTGCTGCTATATTGCTGCCTGTGGATATTTTTCTCAGATTATACAGTACATTTCCAAAACCTACACAGACACCCAGAAGAATTCTGAAATCTCCAATTTCTTGTTATGTTTACCGAAGGAAAACCTATTGTTTTTGCTCAGTTTCCTCTTCCTCTTCTTCTCCAAACAGTGACATCTGACCTGGCCAATGACCTGATTTGTTGATGTCTGTCACCATGGTAACTGGTGTTGGGTTCCATGTAGTTGCAATTTTATATTAGGAGACCCCTGTCTTACCAGTAGACTGCTATCAATATATATATATGAATGTGTTTGAGAAAGAATGAACAGAGCAGACCATATGCTAAGGTAAATATTATGCATTTGCTTTGCAAATGTTACTTTTCTAGTTCTTTTTTGTTTCTCCTCTAGAGATTCGTTTGGACCAACAACCTGACTATCGTCCTACCACTGAGTCCCGACACGTCAGTGTTGAGAAGTCCGGATCTGGCGTACGCAAAACCCCCTTTCTACCCTCCATATGACGTCATGTTGCACCACTTACGCTACAACAGGCCCCAAATGTCCTACATCATGAAGAAAAACTCAAGTTTCGTCGCCATCTTGCGTTACCCACTCAGTCACTTGAAATCGGCCATTAACTATTTTCACCTGGACAAGCGTCTCGGACTGCGGAAGGAAAACCCAGTGAAGGATTACCTGAGCGATCCCAAGTATTTTCTCGGAAGCATGGCGTACAAGACAAGAAACTGGCAAGCTTTCATGATGGGGGTACCTCCGTGGTACGCTGGGAACGAGAAGATGGCGCAAGCTCGCATCCAAGGGCTTGGGAACGAGTTTGCTCACGTGATGATTTTGGAGCATTACGACGAATCTCTGCTCCTGCTCAAAAGGAAACTATGTTGGGAACTTCGGGACATCCTATACGACAAACAGGTTCGGAACTATCGCTCGTATTCCTACAAGAACGAAGAAATACCACAGAACCTACAAGAAAACCACCACCGTTCAAGCAACCTGGATTACATGTTGTACGACTATTTCAACAGAACTCTTTGGCGTGAAATCGCGGAAAGGGGCGACGATTTTCAGAACGAACTAGAACTTTTCAGACGGGTAAACTTTGAAGTGAATATCTACTGCAATCGCTCTGTGAATGAGAGTGATTACTTTGTTCAAGCGACAACCTGGAACGAAGAGTTTACGGTGGACGAGACGCTGTGCTCTGAACTGAAAAGGACCAGGGTAGACTGGGACAGAAGCTTCTTCAAAAGGCAGGGGAAAGTACCACAGAAATGGACTAGGGGCACCAACGTCAGTTTCATCAAGGATTTTGTCAAACGTGCAGCACAACGAAGACGACGTCCTCAAATGGGCCAAGCGAAGGTTCTGAAAGTTTAATCATTTGTGGTTCATCTATAATGAGAGTGGCGTGGAAAAATTGGAACGCAAACAATACTGATATTATAGTGCTAAGATAATTTTTTATAGGACAATAATCGTTAACGTTCTACAACATGTAATCACAAGAGGTGGTGGAGACACAGTGCCACTGAAGTTTATTTATGTTTACCGAAGGAAAGCATACTGTTTTCCTCAGTTTCTTCCTCTTCTTCTCCAAACAGTGACCTCTGACCAATGACATGATTTGTTGATGTCTGTCACCATGGTGACTGGTGTTGGGTTACATAACGTTGCAATTTCATGGTCTGCTCTGCTCCTGTCACAATATACTAGTAGTACATGTATGTGAATGTATTTTGAGTAAGAATTAACAGAGCAGACCATGTCCGAAGGTAAACACACCAACACACCTCATTTTCACCTGAGCGATGTGAGAAAAGTCGTGTACGAAAGAAACGTCGTAAGAAAGAAAAGTCGTGTAAAGGGCCTTTCCCAAGGGCAACAGATCGGTGGCATGTCGGGACTCGAACCCGGGCACCAGATCGGTGGCATGTCGGGACTCGAACTCGGGACCTCTTGGTTCCGAGTCGAGCACTCTGCCGTTACGCCACGCTAAGATACTGTAATTGATGTGGTGGTGGTACCATTTTTGGAAACTGATTAGTATTCTGTTATGTTTCTTGAACGTTTATTTTAAGGATAAGAAAATTCAGTTGATACGAAATAACGAAGCCGCGTCCATTGGAAAAATTTATTTGTAATGGATATTTAATTGAATGTGTTTAATATGTTTTATCGTACTTGATCAATGCAGTTCCATTGTATGCGTTCCACAAATGGAGATTGTTGATAAATAAACAGATTGTTTACAGAGCAAAGGTTCTCTCCCCTGTACCTTTCCCCTCAGGGCAAAGTTTGACTTTCTCTCTCCCGCTGAGGTCAGGAACAATGGCGACTCTCGAAAGGACTGGTCTTCTCTTTGTCGCCACATTCGCCGGTTTGCTGTAAGTTTTAATAATCGGGCTCGGTCACACACGTCGTAAGATCGTCGTGCGACAGCAAACTGACTCGGAGGTCACTCTTGAAACAGCCGTCCATGTGTCTTGCAAAAGTCTTGTTACGAAAGATCCTTCTTTTGAAAATTCTGCGGCATCAAAATCGTACGAAGGCCAGCGGCGGATGTGACCAAACCTGTATCATTCCTTCATATTTCCACCAAGCCAAGCTTTGGTCACAACCTTTTGTCTTTCCCATTTTTATATCACTGTTCGAGACTGTTCACAACGTATAACATGCAGAAATGTTCTAATATTGCAAAATTCTGAGCAGTCTATTTTTTTCGACAAGAGTACTTTAAGATGAATGGACCACAACATATGGAGGGCTTTCTTAAGGCTACATAGTCTATAGATAAAATATTGTTATTGATTATTCTAAAATAATCGTTGAAGAAACCTGGTGCACGGTACAAAGGTTTTCTGCAATGCGTCATGATGACCTTTGAACTTTGTTTCAGCTATTGTGTGCATGGCCAGCTCGAAGCAAGGACTCTCTTCAGGTAATACAGTATTATGGCAAATCAATTTAACAGTTCAACCAACGGGAGAATAGCAATTAGCGGTTCAACCAATGAGAGAATGGCAATATATTCGCGTTCGGCCAATGAGAGGATGGCCGCATGCATGTCCGTCAAATGATTTTTAAATTCAACGTTATGTTTTTATTTTGCATTTCTGCGTTGAGGTAGGCGGGGATTTGGGATTGTTTGTCTAATCGCACATAGTAAAAACGTAAACAGTAAATAAATCAGTAAACTACCTATATTTTTTTCAGTGATGGGCCCGATTTTACTCTTTTTTTAGGCAGTGAAGCATCATATTATCCACGTTTTAGAAGTAAATGTAATATAATTGGATGATTTTATCAGAAAGACCATGGGAGAAATTTGACAACTTAGGATGACTGCTTCACCTCGTTACCTTTCTTTAAGTCAATGGAAGCATGAACACAACCGACGGTACAAAACGGTTGAAGAAGAGACGGCGAGGTTTGCTACGTTCCAAGAAAACCTCCTCAAGATCGACAAACTGAACGCTGAATACAGGTAAAACCAACGTAGTGTGTGTAAATACTTGATCGATGTTCCGACT